TCCCGGGTAAGATCTGTCACAGTTATCTGTTCCTCCATTTCCCAAAGCCTCCCTAGGCTTCTGGAATGGCTCCTACGTCTTGCATTGTTTCTTGGAGGTTGTCTTCTTCTGTTCTGTCCCCACATCACCCCTGCTTGCTCCGTGAGCTCTTACAGCCCCCTCTCTGTGCCACAGCCGGCTTGTAAAAATGCCTATTGAATTGCACCACTTTCCACTTAGATCCCCTCCTGGGTTGATGCTCCAGTGCCCTTCTGCTTGACATTCAAGGCCCTCGGGGACCTGGTCCTTGCCTCCCTGTAGAGTGTCAGCTTTATATTCTATTCCTCCTAATTTGTAGGCTGACCCTAAAGCAGAGCTTCTCAAACTCAACTGTGCACACAAATATGCCAGAGATCCTGTTAAAGGCAGGTTCTCGTTCGGTCAATCTGGGCTGGGATCTGAGGTTCTGTATTTCTAACAAGCTCTCAGGTGATGCCTCTGCTCCTGGTCTGGGGATACTTTGAAGCTCAAGACCCTCGACTACTTAGAATTCCCCAATTTTTTTAATAATAAAGTTATAACTTGTCTTATATCTCAGACTAGAATGGCTTTGGTTGAGCAGCTTATGAAAAGAAGCCAAGGAGGACTGGGGACTGGCCTTTCCCTAAGGCCTAGTCTCCCAGCAAGGTTTTAATCTTCCCGCCTACCTGGTGAGGTAGGTAATAACTCGACTTTATTGATGGGGAAACTGACTTCAGGGAAGTCGCCAGCTCACACGTATGGGGCTATGAAGTGGTAGACTAGGGCACCGGGCCACGGCTTCTGGTTCTGGACCCTGCGGCTTCCCTGAGCCCCACGGTCTCGGAAGCATTACCATAAACGACAGAATTATGGTTCTCTACATGGAAGCCAGAGCCTTCACTTATGGTGGTTGTTTTCTAACTTGGGCAGATGGCCTGGAAAGTCGTTGGGTCACCAAGCGACCTGCCTGGAAATTCTTTCATCTTGGCCTTTCGAGAAAACCTTCTACAGAAAGTTGTTTGCAAGGTAGGTTATGAAGATTTGGGATTTGCCTCAAATTTCTCTTCCAGGCCGCCCTTCAATGAATATTTTCTGACTCATAAGAGACCACAGTTATGTTAGATGTTTATCTTCTTAAATCTGAGTTCACTGCTTTTTCTTGGTTTTACAAGAATACGTCCTCACGAGAAGCCATTATTAAAAGCTGAATAGGCTTTGCTACTCCCACAAATGTGAATCTGGTAATGACTAACATTGAACTCAGTAATAAGTGAGGATCATTTCAGAACGCTTGGCTTTGTTTTAAAGGGCAAGATTTTGGAAGCCGCCTCCAGGGCTCCATCCAGATCCGTTTTCCTGGCACAGAACTAGGAGACGGTGCCCAAGCTTTAGGTGACAGGAGAGGGCACACTCCTTTCCCATGTGCCTGGCCCTGGGGCAGAGAGGTCTGCAAGACTCCAGGTGCCAGAACCCCACAGCACAATGGCCTTTGGATGCCTCTATGCATCCTGGAAAAGAAAGATGGTTCCTTTACGACTCAGGCTAGCAGGGGGCGGGGTCTCAGGGACAGGCAGGGGTCCAGGAGATGGAGGCCACAGTAGCTCCCTGTGCCGCTCTGTCCCCCAACGCTTGCTGGGTCTGCAGACTGCTCAGCTTCTCACAGATCCATGCACAATTCTGAACTAAGAATACATAGTTCTGCTCCCATCTCTCCCTGGAGCAGTGTTCACCTTGATCATGAAATAGGATTTCTGAATCCATTGCGCATCAGGCACAGCTGGGTCTTGACTCACTGCCTGAATTTTCCATGTCTTTTTGGAGATAAAGCAAATCTCTGGCTTGGTGAATGCTTTGCGATTATTCATCCCCCCCCCCCCCCCCACCTTTTGTGTTTTGCTCTGGAAATTCAGGGTGTAGTAAAAGTGTTTGTACCTGCATTTATATCAGGATTTTAAAAATATAACTTGATTTTTGGTAAAGGAGAAGAAGGATTGTGGGGAGCAGGGGCAACATTAAGACAAAGAAAACAAGGTTTTATAACTTATTCTCTGCTAAATACAGTTCTTGCATCCTAGATATCAATATGCTGTAATTTACCAGGTGCTTAATGGTAACGGGCACTGTTTTAATGGTTGAGTGTACATTTTGTCATTGAAACTTCACAGCAATCCCAGGAGGTGGGATCTATTCTGACCCCCCACTTTACAGATGAGGAAACTGAGGCACAGAGATGTCACTTGCCCAGAGACACACAAGCAAATAAAAAATGGTACCCAGATGCTAATCCAAGCATTTTGACTCTAAAGCACTTGCCTGACACTACACAGAATGGGGGGGTAACATGGAGAATTACGAGCCAACTCATTTAGCAATGGTTCGATGGAATATATGAACTGACTTAATTTAAAATGCATGAACTTCTTCTAATAGAGTGTGAAGGACAATGAAAATCTGACACCATCTCAGTTATAAGTCTATTTGTAGAGGGCACCATTGGTTCCTATATTGTAAATAGCCTTCTTGGGGGTTCTAGATGGTAGGTCACATGGATATAAGGGAAAATTCCTTTATTTCAGTGGATTATCATTACATAGATTTGCATGTAAGAAGCCACATTTCTCAGCTATATTATTTTATTCAGAAAAAGTCTAGCATAACTCGGTATGGAAGGTTAGTCTATTACATAGGTGTTGCAAAGGGATTTCACTGGCTTTGATGCTTCAATTTTACACAGAATCTCAGTTCTGAAATGGGAAAGAGTTTTGGTGATTCACTGCCAAGTTTGGATCACCCCCAGAATGCTTTAGGAAAATAAAGCATTTTATTCTCTACAGAGGTGAAGAAAAACAGGAACCTAGTGACCTGGATCAACGTGTCCAGAGAGTTCAGGCCCCAAATCCTCTTTTTCTAGAACCACAGGAGATTCATTTGAATTTTCTGAGTTGCTAGCGCCACTCAACTAGACGTTTCCTGAAAAGACTCAGCTTAAATTCTCACCATGTCTCTGGGCTCTCATTTCACTGTGCTAATTAAGGAACTCTGAGGGTGCATCTACACATGTAAAATGAGTGGCTCTTAACACACCAACGCTTTGCTTTTAGCCAGCTTCGTGAATCCAGTTTGCTGCACAACTGATCAGGCTTCTGTAGCAACCGGCTTGGATCACCGAGACTGCAGCGCTTGCTGGACAGCCAGGCCCCAGTCCAGCCCCTGCCCGCATGGGTCCTGGACGTGGTCTAGAGTCATTAAAAGCATTTACTCCAAGTAACATCCCTCACTTGATGAAATAGGTATCTTTCTGCCAACTTGGCTCTCTTGCCTAAGCCTTGGTGTTCCCAGGCTAGTAAGTCTTCAAACATGACGTTTTATAGAATGTAAAGTGAATTAATTCTTCCTTTTGTCAATGTCATAAGGTCCATCTGGAGTTTGCTCAGTCGGAAAAGCATCTGTATTAATCCCACAAACTGAGATCATCTAGTGGGCCTAAACTATACATTTTAATGATTTTTCTTGACAGGAAACAAAGCAGCCCAAGCAAATAGCCTCCCAGTTTTAGCTAGAAGGTTAGAAATCATATATAGTGAATGGAATTGCATTGTTTAAACTTCAATTCAATTCTTTTCTATTTAAAACCTCTTCAATTTAATAAATTACAACATATATTTTGAAATATTTGGGGAATCATCTTATCTGCCCCATTCCACTCTTAAACAGCTGAATTAAAAACACACTTCCTGCTGGGGCACCTGGGTGGCTCAGTGGATTAGGTGTCTGACTGGCTCAGGTCATGATCTCATGGTTCATGAGTTTGAGCCCTGTGCTGGGCTCTGTGCTGACAGCTCAGAGCCTGGAGCCTGCTTCAGATTCTGTGTCTCCCTCTCTCTCTGCCCCTTCCCACTTAGGTTCTGTCTGTCACTCAAGAATAAATAAACATTAAAAAAATTTTTTTAAACATCCTTCCTACTAAAAGTCTTAAAAATGAGAAATTGTTAACTATTAATGATGATACTTTCCCCTAATTAAATAAGGAAAAGCACTGGGGCTTTGCTTGGAAGGATATCATTTCAGATTTTTTTTTTTTTACCTCATTAAAGCAACAAACTGTGGGTGGTTAATCTGAGGGAAAGCTGCCATTTTCTAAAAATGCATTAAGACTTCACTGGACGGGTGGTTGCATGACAAGAGCTATTTAGGATTAGAAAGTAGTTGTGATTTGTATTTAAATGAATAGCACGCTATTTACAAATTCTTCGGCAGTTAATTTGGACCATTTCCATCCTACTGCAAGCAGAAGGCAGACCTTTCTGCCTAGTTACCTCAACTTCGAAGTCAGTTCCTGGAGGAATCAAGTTTGTCTTCCATATGTTGGCTTTGATGGGGATGAGCCCGAGGGACTCTCTGCTTTCACTTGAATTTTTCCTCTTTCTGGATACTCTTAAATCACTCCTGCCTCAAGCAGAGGACTGGTCTCTGCTTCAAAGGCAGCCAAAGAGTGAATTATTTACCAAATTGCACAAAAAGGAGGATTTATCAGGCCCCTTTTCTCCCGGAGAGGACAACCCCAGAACTGGAGCACTTGATTACTCTCTTTTTTGGCTCTAAATTATGCCATTCAGATGCTTTTGAAAGCTTCTCTTCATGCTCTTGCTTGAGTCATAAAATTTGATGCCTGGGGCCAAATGCCTTCCCCCATCCCCACCCCACAAGGGTGAGGAAGAGGAAAATGCGCCAATTCTAGGCAAGTGCCACACAAAGCCAATGACTGCGCGGCAAATGTGGGGCAGTAGGAACAAGTCGCTCTGCATAAGTCACACCTTCTTGGTTTGCTCTTCTACTCTGGAGTGAATTTTACCATTTGCATAAGATCACCGGACCCTCCCCAACCTGAATTTGCCACTTGGAGAATTTTCGATGTAACCAATACCACAGATCTGAGTGCTGCCATTACCTATAGTGCTGGGATTTTAGATTTTGTGAATTTCCACACATCAGCCACTCACCTGAAGAGGGTTTGCTGGGGCCCGCCTTCTCCGGTTTCCTTGGAGTCATAGTGCTTTTGTGTTTCTGTTTGACTGGTGTTGGGTCAATTGCTGGGAGTCTGGAATCACCCTTAACCGCAGAACTCTTGGTGGATAGTCTTGGTTCGGCTACAGAATCCTCCTCACCAGAACTCTACCAGAAAGGAAAAGTGTCTGAGTATTAATGGCCAAATAGGTCATCTTTGCTGGGCAGAGGGAAAGAGAGACGAGCTGACTGCAGAGATCCCTCCAGCACTAACACTAGAATATCCCGCCATGCTTACCATGCCCTTTTACCAGTGAGGTTTTGATGGACTGTATCAATTTAGAAGAATCAGTTAGAAATAATAGCAAAGTTAATGAGACTATTTTGCAGAACACCATAAAAAGGAGGCACTTCTACGAGTCTATCTTGTAGAACGTTACGAAAAGAACACACTTCTGACCCTTAAGTAATTTGATGACCAGCCAACGCCTCAAGTTATGAAAGCAAGAGAAACAATCAGTGTCCTTAAACTCCTTGCTCTTGTTATTTGAACTGCTTTGGGAGTGGGTGAGGAAAGATGTTCCTAATGGTAATCATATACTTACAAATGAAAAGGAAATTTAGATAGTGTGTAGGGACTGAGAAAACTAGACCTCCGTTTACTGTTCTGAATTACTGGGTGCAACATGAGACAGACTAATCTGTTTAAGAGCCTCCTACTTGTCCGTCTTCTATAAAGAAGTCAGTACAAATCTGTGCACCCCCAAATCATGATTCCTGCAGCGTCAGAGTGTCTCAGCGCAGCCTTGCCAACACAACAAAAATTATCCAGGCATTCGATAGTTTTCTACTTTGCCGCCACTACACCCACCAAAAGAATAATGAAAGCAATGTAACTGGCTATGGGAAACCTGGCCATGGCGGGTGAGTCAAGTGCTACCTTACGGTTTTAGGTCCTGGTGTTACGATTTGTGATACACCATGAAACACACTAAACCCCAAAGTTCCTGCCCCTCCCTCCCTGGGGGGAGGGTCGCTCAGTTCTTCTGCAGACACATGAGTCCAGTCTCGGGAAAGTCCTCTGAGGATGCCCGGTCATCTGCAGGCAGAATGCTACATTAATACCCCCCTTCCCCAAACATGGCAATTTGTATTGATCTCACTCATTGTTCCCGCTGACAATTCTGGCATTTTCATTTCAAGGCTCCTGACTCAGGAAAATTCTCTGAGTAACTTTGAATTATTGGGTGCAATGGAAAACAAACTAAATTCTAAAAAAAAAGTCCCCTGCTTGTCAGTCTTCTCCAAAGAAGTCTATAAATCTACAGGTGGACAGATCATTATCCTCTAAGATTATAAGTTGTTGTTTTGTAACTTAGAGTCTGGGTACAGTCTTCAAACAAATAATTATTGTTTTTCCCTGTGTTTTCAGAAAGCAAATCAGATAAAGGGACAGGAAAAAGAAAGGACTTAATGAATTGGTTGTTCTCCATTTTCCCTTTCGATTCTGGAATTTAATAGAAATCCTTGAAAATGATTCTGAAATGTCCAAGATGATGCCTTGAGACAAAATCCCAAGCTGCACTGTCAATGCAGAGCCCAACATGGGGCTTGAACTCATGAACTGTGAGATCATGACCTGAGTCAGACATTTAGCTGACTGAGCTACCCAGGCACTCTGTGAAGCAGTAGGTAATTTCTGAACATGAAATAGGCTGTTTTCAGAGAAGGAAATGTGGGCAAATTTTAATTATGATGCCTAAGACTGTCCTAGGCAAATAGAGCATCAGTGAACATGGGATGGAATTTTTTCCATAAACTGCCCAACACCAATACCTCGCGTGTGTGGGTGGAGAAGCCTTCTCGTACAGGGGTCTATTCTTCAGCCCTTTATTTCTAGCCAATGCAAAGACAGGAGAGATGCTCCAGGCTAAGACTGCCAATATCCACGGTTACAGTATCAGATGCGTTAATAGTGGCCACCATTACTGGTGGCTCTGTCACCCTCAGCCAGGGTGACAAAAAGAATCGTCTTTGCTTGCCCCAGGCAGTGGTGAATTGGGAGGAGTGGTGACCAGACTTTTGCTTGGGCGAATGTTAAGCCATATTTTATCCTTCCTTCACCCACTCATTATAGTTCAAGACTTTAATAGCACCAAAGGCGAAAGAAAGTTTGGTCCACTAGACAGTGCCTATTACATAGGGAATAGCACAGCTGCGCTCCGAATATGTCCCTTTCCGGTTCCTAGTTCCCTCAGCCTTCATTAACTTCCAGTTGCTAATCCTTCTTAAGAGACCAGAAACTGCTGCTTGGAAGTGGGTGTTTTGTCAGCGGGAAAAGGAAGGTCGCAATGGCAGAAATAATAACACTTAACGATGAATGTGCTTGCTTCACTAATCGTAAGTAAATCATTTCAACTTTTTGTGCCTTTATTCACGTTCTCTTATGTTGTTTGCCATTCTCCTTTCTCCTCTCTTATGAAAACCCATCATATTAATCAGAGAGGATGAGTTGTAGGAACTCATTCTGGCACTAAAGTGTGGTATTTAAGACTTCCTGGGAGGGAATCCTGGCCTTTTCACAGGTTTATTGTGCAATAGACTGTTAGTTTTAGGTCATCTTTCTGCATCTCAGACTTTTCCATCCGTGAACCACAGTGTCTATCTTGTGGTGCCTCTGTAAGGATTAAATGAGTTAGGACGTGCGTGCTTGTAGCACTCAGAATAATATCAGGCATGCAGTAAATGCCATGTGAGTGTTGGCTTTTGTAATTAGCCATTTAAAAAATTAACTCACTAACAACCAAATATTAACTACCTATTGTTGAAAGCAAAACTCAAATCCCCAGTGAGAAGTACGATTGGATTTTCACCTAATCTGAAGAAATGTGAGCAGGGAGGTGGATCAGATCTTACACCGGACTCTTGGTTTCTTTCACAAGCTGTTGAATTTATGATTGTCTTCTAAGTATCCAGCTGAAATTTGTCTAGTCTTAAGAAAATATGGCACGATGTCTTTTTCAGACAGTAAAGCTCTAATGGAAAATATTTAACAACATTCAGAGATTGTCAAACAATAATCATTAAGTTATTTTGATTTGAAGTTGATTTTAAAACTGTCTTTTCCCCTTGTAATTTTGAACAGTAATTACAATTTTCATTTCTTCCCCCATATGTTCCTAAGTCGAAATGTCACATGGAGGTGGAGGCGACAGGACATTGTGCTATTCCTTTAGGGGAAGGCAACCAGCTTTGTCTTTCAAAATCAAAGTCTAAAGCATTAAAAAGAAAAACTGACTGGAAAGAAACGTTTAAAAATCAAGCTACAGGATATACGTGAGGATTCTAAGTCCTAATAAAGCCACGTGAACAGAAATAAGTTATTGTCAAAATTAGCACTTTTCAAGAGTGTTATTACTTTTGTTTTTATCATTCTCCCCCAAATCCCCAACTTGCTCTTTTGGCAGAGTAGAGACACTACCTTGCCCAGGGCGAGGCTCTCCCCAAAGTTCAGAGAAAGACTCCTGTCTGGGAGTCCCATTAGGGACTTCCCCAGGGAACAACTTATTCATGCTATAATGGCTCTCATTAGACCTCCTGGAAGACAGAGACCCAAGGGTTGGGAAGTGGGTTGCATTTCCTCAGGGACGTGAGAATGACAAGATTATTTCACCTAGGACCTCACAATGTTGAGTCTGGAATGGTAAGGGGACAGTGAACAGAGCTGATTGGAAGAGCAAGGAGACCTAAGTAGTCAGGGATGGATGAGACCAAGTTATTTTCCAGCTCTTGCCTGATGGCTCATTTCCAAGACCCAGGAAACTGGTTCTCAACTGGTGTGGCACCTCCCTCCCCGAGGGTGTGCTGCAGCATCCTGACTGATGTAGACCATCCCCATTTTTGCCATGTGTCACGTGATGGAAAGCTGGGCTGCACAGATCTTCTGATATAGTGTAGATCAGGGTACAACCTGTTGCCGATAAGAGGCAAAGAGTAGTGTCGGGCTATTGCCAGAGAAGGACCATGTGTTTATGACACTTGAAATAAGTATGTTCTCATGAGAATGTGAAAGACCGTGATCATCATGGTGACTCTTAATGTTCAAACAGTAACAAGATGGGAAGGGTGACTGAGGGGCTGTGGGTGCAAACGTGTACCTTCAAGTCTCCAAAGTCTGCGTTCATATTGTGCCTCACACACAAAAACACCCTTAGGGAATCGAGGGTAGCTTGTATACATAGCATTCTGGGTAGGGTGGACCCCTTTGTGCATTCAAGAAACATAAAGGCATGTTCTACACAGAGGGCTGGCTGTATCACAAAGCAGGCTAAAGTCTCTCTAATCTAGAAAAAACTCTAAAAGCGGCAAAGTCCTTCAAATGTTCAGGACAGTTTTGAGCTCCATTTGGCCACAAGATGCTTTTTGGAGTCAGGTGGGCTGCCGCGTGTGTAAATATCACGTGCACCTGTGTCTACCACTGTCTTCGGTAAAGAGTGCCCCACCCCCACCTGCCACCATCTCTGTGATTTTCATGCTAGCAAGTTGGAATGACTCAGCCTGAGACACTGTTCTGCCAGTAGTGGCCTTGATGATAAAGTCTTCTCAAGGTCTGATGACCACTGCGTCTGCTCCCTGAAGGAGGGACATGTGGGATTACAGAATTGCTTCGTGATTACTCTCCATCTGGCTGTGGAATGGCCTCTGGGTGAAACTTTGAGCTGCAAGCTACTGAAATGGCAAACATGACAAGTTTTCTGACACCTGCTAGGTATTTCTTGTAATGCAAATTAATCCCTGTGTGTTGTGGAAATCACTCTTGTGGGTGGTGACACATTTTCATACTTTTGGGGACAGGTGCAAGTGCGTAAGATGTTCTCTGGGATGGAGTTCTGTGTGGTGGGCAGTGGGTGAGGAAGTGGTATGTGGCCAGAAAATGTTGGATTTTTAAATTGTGAACACTAAAGGGTAGTATGTAGTAGCACACTAAGACTACCCTCCACTGGGTATTCCTCAAGTAGAGTTTGGCTACAATAAATTTCTCCTCCATCCTTTATTTGAATTCATGTTCCCCTTTTAGCTGAGAGGCGCATCTGAGGAACATGAAAGATTTGGCCATCAAATGGAGATCATCTACAGAAGTACCTCCTACTCAAAATAATATGTCACAC